CCATAGACTTTACTAGTTTTTTTTGAATTCTTATGTTTCGTGAATACCGATTTTTTCGTATTCTCCCCCACATTTGCTCTCTTCTGGACCGTCACTTCCAATATACGTGTAAAACCAGATACCTCGAGAATCACCGTGGCTTGTGCCTCCAGAACTTGTAATCTCTGTTGATGAAAAAGATAGAGAAGAAAAGTGGAAGGAAAAGATATTCGATTCTTAGATTGTCACTTTTGCCCACAAATGCATTTAGTCTGTTTTTTTAAAGACTAATTCTGCTGACAAATCTGCTGAGTAGTTACTCATTTATAAGGAGAGTCAATATGTGGCGTTATCGCTTAGGATGACAGCAAAAACAAACTGCATTTTGCCTGCCCTGGGCTGTTTCTTTCGATTTCTCTTGATCGATGACCTGTTCCCTCATTTTCGCTGCTGCAGCATACTCTGAGCCCACAAGAAACCTTTGGACTGAACAGTTGCTTGAAGAAAATCTCTATTTTTTCCAGATGATGTTTATAGCAACCTCCAATACTCTCTCCAGTGAACGGTAACTGTGCAGTATGCTTGTAAAAAATGACAAAAATAAAGTCTGTGAATGAGGAGGTACCTCAAAGCTCAAATACTGAAAACTAGATGTTTTGACACTTATAAGCAGTAGTGTATACGATGGTGGCACGTGCACTGTAACGATCCAGAGCCGGTTCAAATGCTGCTTAATCTTCGAGTTACCCAGATCATTCTAATAATTCTAATAAGCCTTAAAACTAGCATTTTTCAAGGAGATGAGCCTCATCAATTGAAGGATAGTGTGGTTTAACTACCAAGTGAGTGGAAGAGACGGCGCTTATTATTGGATAGGGAACTTATGGAACGCTTGTGGTCAGCTTAGTGACAGCTAATCGCTGGAATGAGAAAAACGTCAGAGCGGATGACCGTGGTTGATCGTCAGTGAGCGAGCGAGAAATGGTGTCCTTGAGTCGGTGCGACCGACCGCCGCTAGCACCAGATTGATATCTCAATCGCATTCTGTGTTTTGCCTAATCGTCCGCCGTCATTCGGCTACATGATCACGTCCATCGCTAGCTTCTCTTTATTTCTAAGCCCATTTGACTTTATGGGTGATCTATCTTTTTCATAGGGTCACCTATATCCCAAGCCACCACCTCAACGGCCAGTTATCCGCTCATTTACGACCTTCGCGTCGCTAATCACATCAGCCGGGCGACGATCAGCGATCTATCTTTTTCTATGTTCAGTAGATAGTTTTAGTGTTGGGGACAGAAATACATTTGAAGCTCAACTCTAACTCATATAAAATGCCAGTAGAAGGATCGAGTAGATGGTTGTTGACTTCCTGGATCGCTATTATTTGCCAGCTTTGCTTTTCCCTTCCAGTGTAGGTGGCTTTCTTTTTGGCTAGCTCCATACGTCTCATCGTCGTATTGCCGTAACAAAAATATGACAGTCCAATCAAATCAGATCATCTCTTTTCTCCGATTAATCAGATGATCGTTCTCTATCTTGTAAGGATGGACGGCATTCATCTTGATACGCGACCTTCCTGTCGCTTCGTTTTTTCTGTTCGCATCAGAGTTGACACTATTTTTTCTCTTTTCAACGTGGGGATGCTTTTTATCGGTATTTGAAAATTTTTCATTCAAAGTGAAGGATATGATCTCAAACCCACGCTCGGCCCCAGCTACCGCTGTCCTGGTCCATAATTGCCATAGGTACTCCTTGTCCCTGATATGTTGTTTATTCCATATTCTCTACTCCTCACTCCTACTAGAATAATCTAATTCTCCTTTCATGCTGGTGTATATATAATGTTTTATTCTACTCTTTAGTTCTCCCTTACCCTACTGATGAGTACAGAGCGAGAATTTTGACGAGTCGGCTTCGGTCTAAGGCACGTGCAAAATGGAAAATGAACTACATTTTTACCATTCCTCCTTACTCATATAATCTTTGATTTGGTAATAGTTGAGATACTTCATTCAAAGACTCAATCATCCCTTTTTTAGTCTGGAATTAATAAAAGTACTTATTGCCACAAAAATTCTCAGAAAGTTTCAATCCAATCCGGGAGAGTCTTGCGCGAGTCATACCCTATCAGTTACCGAGATCACTTTTGTGATTACCAAAGGAGTTTTTTGTTTTGGATTGCTTCTTATAGTGATGTTTTAATGAAACCTTGATTAAAATCTTGCAAATGTCATGTTATTATTTGTGGTGGGCACCTGAAACACGACGTGTTTGTATAAATGCTTCGAACACTCATTTCAAAGGATAGCTACCTATTCTGCAAAGCCATCCATATTTATAGACTGTTTCATAAGTGTTTTATGGCCAAGATTCAATAAAAGTACGAGTTCCGTACTGATCAATCAAACAAATGAACTGGGGGAAATGGAGAGCATGCATGACCTGGATTTGAATTCCTGATCACGAGAAATATAGCGCATCTCGCTGTAGTGGTTCAATCCTATAAACTGTTCCCATCCTACTTATATAAACCGTTAAAAGCGGCTGTTGGTGTGTTTGTGTGTGTGTGTCTGACTTTGGAAGCAGTACAGGAAAGAATGGGAGCAGTTATGGTGTGTGAAAGGACAAGACTCCGTCAGCGGTGGCGGAGCGGAAAATGAGTGTTATCTCAGTGAATTCGCCAATTCACTGAGATAACACTCACCAATTTACTCGGATACTCATGAGTTAAGCAGAACTCCGCTCATGGCGTGAAAGGCGCTCAAGAAGTGTCGGATAGTGTGTGCGGACGTTTAGCCGAAAAATTTTACTCCCTGTTCTTCTGCACCAGAGTGTCTGAATCGAATTGACGTATTCCACAGGCTTTTTACACGAAGAGGAGAAACGCGACCCGACCGGTGAATTATGTAAAGAGATAAGGAAACGGGGCTCACTGTGGATAGGGTTCGCACAAACTCGGCCCTAACCTAACATCGACTTACCACTTCTGACCCCTTCCCATTTCTAAGGAATATATTTGAATTAGAGATCGGAACTGTTGGTGCAGATTAACACCTCGGTGACGAAGAAAGCAAACAAATTATCGAAATATACTTCTTCAAGTAATCATTTCATAGGATTATGCGAAGCTATAACGACATGAGAAATGTTCAAACGAGATTTCGATCATGTGCGTTTGCGTGGCGAATTGACTGGAGTATTCGTGCTGCCAAGAATTGCTTTCCACCAATGCCAGAGGTACTATGGATGAAACCAAGCGTCGGATGAGGACGTCGACGTTGGCGTCGCTATTATGAAGCCAAGCTTCCAATGCAATCTATGAGTGCTCCAGACCATCGGTTATTTGAATTTCCAAAATATGTCTTTATTGTAAATGGTGCAGATTATAGAAGAACGCTGAAATATAGTTCCCATTGGAGGCGTATTTGGTGCTCCCAGTGACCTGTTTGGCCATTTGCGTCCATCCGATCTTTCTTTCCGTCTCTAGTAAAGTTCATTTTATCGTAGCCTTCAGTTTAAGAATACTATGAGTGTTTTCAAGATCAATAAGGTTCTGAACCTTATCGAATTGTTTCATTGTGCCAGTGATAACGCGTAGGTGTTTTTTTAATGTAAAATGTTGTGCCCCATACATTTGAAAAACATGGAAAATCTCTTTTAAAAATGAATGCACCTTTCAGCTCCACACGAAATTAGGGGGATGGCAGGGGAGAAGGGGGGTGTGCAGGAGGGGGGTGGGGAATTTGCGCAAGCAAGCTTCCTTTCAAGCAAAACAACGTCAACACTTCACCAGAAAACAGGAATCCACAGAACTCCAACGAATGAACTGTGAATATAGAAGTAATCCTTCATTCACATACACCTCGTCATTCTCAAATATTTCAACTCTCCTTGTTATCTTCTTCATATTTTCTGCACAATTTTTCTCAACTATTCACTTGGTCCATAAAAAATATTTTGGTCGAGTTCGTTAGTTTGTGTCGTTTTCATCTTTCTTCTTGATTCTTTCTTTATCATTCTAACCAAAAACACCGTAATGTTATCATTGCACTACACTGATTTTCTGAAAACCACAATGGAGCTCAGTTGAAAGAAAAACCATGGAATTAGATGAAGAACAATGCAGGCATGCATTATCACAAAATCATTGAGTCATGAAGAAATATGACAGCTAGCCCATCATTCTACTATTATTCATTAGTTTCCCAACAATCCCAGAAGAAACTAAGATATTTCTCAGTTGTTTACATTTGCTTTATGTTCATTATTGTTTACTCGTGATTTCGTAGGGCTATGTGGGCTATCTGGAGTGTTGAAGGATAAAGGATAAGGTTTTTGGCGTTAATCAATCCCGTCTGAGGGATGGACCCCCGCACTCGACTTCCGTTCCGAATCGTAGTGGCGTAATGAGGGCGTATGGGGCCTAACAATGTCTTGCGGTGGCCAGCCAAAGTACAAGACAGCGCTTTTATCCCCCCAGACGAGTCTGGTACCAAAAAAACCGACCCCAGAGGGATGGAAAGCTTGGATGGCCTAGGCGGATGTCGATCGGGGACTCATACCCGCGACCGTGCGTGTGAGATAGTGCGCCATTTGCCACTACACCACCTCCGCCTTCTGGAGTGTTACTGGTCCCAAATAGAAAAAGTTCCCAGGAATCCTTTACAGTTTTTAGGAGCTCATTCAGATTCACTACAGAAACTTTGCCTTTATATGGTTGACTCAGAGCTTTGGTATCACTTTGAGTGTGGCATCGAGAAAAGGACAGTTTGTTCAGTCATTCACATCGTAGCAGCCGTACTGCCTTATTGAGCCAGTGGAGCTTCTTTTAGATGTTGTAGCGTAGTTTCAATTCACACCCCTGGATAGGATATCTATTGATCTTCCACCCACATCTGCGAATTCTGCCGATCGCTCTTGATGAACCTAGAACACTACCATAAGAAACGCTCACTTAAAAACTTTTTTTATAGATTATTGAGTGTTCGCAGCAGTACCTGAGGTGAGAGAGCTCAACTATGAAGCGGCCGTATCGTATCGCCGTATTTGGTGCCTCAGCTTGTGGAAAGACGGCGTTAGTAAGTGTTTAGCATCGTTGCGGGTGTACTAGTACTATCCAAGAAAGAAAAGCTTTCGGAAAGTCACACGCTCGAAGATTACCAACGTGTCCTAGCAGAGTAGGTATCCTTTTGAGATAGCTGTAACTACATATAACTCTATAGATCCGCCGATTCGTTTCTGGTGACTACACTGATATCTACGACCCTACCATAGAGGACCGATATAAGAAGACGATGATATACCAGGGCAAACCAGTACACTTGGAAATACTCGATTCATCTGGAAAGGTGCGATTTGTTTTTCTTTTGACTGCCATTTATTTGTTATCTATGCCTCACTGATTACACATTCCAATCAAAATGTCAAGTAAGGCTTAAATTACGTTTGTACTTTTTTGTTCCCACATTCTTGCCTTACTCCGTGCTCTCTTTGCGATTAATTTTTGGACGCTCTCTGAAAAGATTTCGAGAATGCAATCATGAGATTAAAGACGCAGTTCAAGATGATTTTGGGTTACCCATTTTATGTTGAAATGAGGAAGTGTTGATGTAGAGCAGTGCATCGGTGACGAAGGAAGCGAGAAAATCCGCATACTTCGCGAAAAATAGGGCTTTTCAAAAGTAGTGGAAATAGGCGTTGTACGAGATTACCATGTCGTAAATGGCATGAAAGGGTATTTGGACGAGGTTTCAGCTGTTACATTTGCTCAAATAACTGGCTACATCAGGTCAAAATTGTCTAAAACTGCCTTCCACTGCCGCCATGGGTCATGACAAGTTGTTTGAACCTCCAGCATAGAAGTCCCGTGAGATGGTGCAATTCTAAATGCCGTTGAGACTCGTCCGCTGTGGATGTGGCATTCACATGATAAAATTTCTGGCCCCTTGTTGTGCCCTATCCTGGACGTTTCTTGGCCTGATATCGGCAACAGGAGGGGTCTCGAATTCATCCTATGGAGAAATTTCAGGAACCATTTTTTTTNTTTTTTTTCGTGAAGTGTGACTTTAATGTATTCGAATCAGAGCTTACTAACATGAACATCCAAAACTCTGATTCGATCGGAAGTTTGAAAATGACAGCCTCTGAGAAGTGCATATGGAGGATGAAAGTAGAACTCTCTTTCAATCATAAACCCCGTTCAGAGGATGAGCTCCGGCATTCGGATCCCATTCAGAATCGTAGTGGCGATTTGAATGCGTGTATGGCCTATACCGTGACTTTCGCTAGCCAGCCGATGCTTAAGTTAGTGTTTTTATCCTTCATACGAGTCTGGCATTATTTAATGGCTCCTAAGGGGTCGAAGACTTGGCTGTTAAGGGGTGGTATCGGTTCGGTATTTGAATCGAAGGCCATACGTGTGTGATAGTCCGCCTCCAGGAACTGTACCCATTCGCTCCATATAAATAATAAGTTCAATAAAATATCTGTTTACCCTACGCAGCTTGAGCCCGTCCCATTAGTCGACTAATGGAGAACCACGACCACCGTTAAAGAACGTTGTGGAACTTCACAGTCAGAAACAGAGTTCAGGACATTTTGGGAGTTCCATGTGACCCACATGATAGCGTTATTACAAGCATCCCAAATAAATTCGTCCCAGAGGTTATCAGAAGCATATTTCTTCGTTTTTCTCCCATTTTGACAGCGGTAATTATTGGTAGCTTAGAACATCTTTGAAGCTACCAGTAACGGCCGCATTTCTACAAAAATAATTAAAAATTTTCAATGAGAGGTTGTTTGACTCCAGAAAAACTATTTTGTTGACCCTGTAGAGTTCGTCAGTCGTCAGCAACGAGTTGTTTCGAGCGTGACTTCCACGGTCGGGTAATTTTGATGAGATTGCACTTTAAGAACCTGATCAACCTACCTGCATGGAAAAAAGTGACTGTTGACAGAATGGACGGTGAGTCCGTTACATTCTGGATGGTTTCTCAAGGGAATTCAGTGGACGTAGCGAGCGTCTATGAAGTTGTTCGGAGCGAGCCCTCTTTTTCCAGAACATAGCTACGTTCCTACCCCAACGCTGTGGCGATGAGATCGTCCTGACACTTACTGGTTAATACTACCGCAGAACTATCAGATGAGTTTACTACTGCGAAAGCAACCCTCGATTCCTTTCTATAATGCGTAAAGTCAACATAATGTATCGACTCCAATTATGTGGATGTAGGCAGTAAATCCTGCTCATTCTACAACAGTGGTTATTACGAACGCACGCAATAGCGTAAATCACCCACATTTTGAACCAGATATGAGCCTCTCTGAGATTTGCTTGATGGGTTGATAAAAAACAAAGCACCTATTAAAGTATATTCCTAGAAACATGCATGGATGACGTTATCGTCGGCAATAGTGGTCGAAAACTATGTCCAGCTCCGTATGGCTATTGAGTGTGCCACTACGAAGATTTATAAGTCAGTGGTATAGCGACTGGGGCGGAGTCCTCTAATCAAATACCGGCTCAGCCAAATGGATCCCGGGTCCCGTTCCCGAGTGAAAAAAGAAGGATGCCATAAGACAAGGCGGTTAATCACGATAAGCTGTAAATTACCATCGTAAGAATGGAGTCAACAAGAAAAATGGGTGGTACAGCTGAGTACGAACTGGCACCAAATAGCGAAGACTCATCACATATTTCATTATTGTCATCATCATTATCACTTTTATTGTCGTTATTGCTGCACAACATCCACAACAGTCGTTCATTTCTTTAAAATGGGGTCTGAGCAACTTGCGAATGGTTCGGGTCTGAGACGAATTGTAAGCTCAGTATGATCATTTGAGTACAGAAAGAAAAAAAAGAAGTGAGATTATTCCTGGGCTTGTTCACGAAAGTATTTCATCCCCCCACCCCAATAGACCGTAACCATCATGATCAAGCCCCCACTTCTTGTTAATCCGCCATCTGATCGTATTTTATAGCCACTTAGAATGTTTCTCGACCTCGCTGGAGACCAACAGATCGCTTCTTTCTCACATCGAATAGGTTATATGAAGCCACCTGCATCGACCATCACTACAGATCACTTAGTTCCTTCTCTCCATTTGCACGCTCTTAGCTATAAGCAAGCTATCAAGGAATGTCCTCTCAAGGTTGCGGAAACTGATCCCAAGCCGTGTTCTATGTAGGAGTATCAGTGAATGACGTAAAAACTCACAATCATGTTGATTGTCTTCGTTCTCTTATCATTAGAACGGCCATAATTAGTTTAAAATAACATGGAGGCCAAGTAGGTCATGACTGTTCAGAGGTAATTTCAGGAGTTAGTCAGCGAGATGATGACGCGATACATCACATCGGCCGATGCGTTCATGGTCGTCTACTCAGTTGGAAGTAGAAAGTCGTTTGAACACGCGGTTCACCTATTCTCACAAATAGCAAAAATACGAGGAGTCAATTCGGTAAGGCCATATTTCTAAGAAGGAAAAGACGCTTTCTTAGGCTCACATAATTTTTTCCTTTAAAAAACGTTGATAGATTGAGAAACCCCCTTGTTATGGCACAGCGGGATTCCCAGTCAGTTTATTCAGGTAGAAAACAAGTTGCAGATCGCTCGACTACTGGTAGCAGCTAAATGTGATTCTGACTACAGAGAAGTGTCTCCTGATGAAGGTAACACATTGTCAGCTCAGCTAAGTTGCTCATTTGCAGAGGTTAGCGCCAAAATGAATATCAATATACCCGAGGTAAGCCTAGTATGGGTAAAAGTCGACGGTATCTAATGATCGCATACAATCATCAGGTATTCGAAGAGATGGTCTCACAACGCCATTACATCGAAACAATGGAATCATCGAGACGAAGGAATCAACAACTCTACGGTAATTCCGGCAGTTCCTGGTGCTGCTTTTTGTGAATAATGAATTGGACTCTTGGCATATCTTGGCTCAGGCCAGGAACCGAATTTTTGCCAATTTGATCATGATTACAGGTCTCTAAAATCAGCATATAAAATTTTATCAACTCAGAAAGATGCAGCGTTTTGAACTTACACGATACGATTTTAAGATTTTTGGCTATTTGAGCATGCAATTTACAGAAATCAAAAAGAAAACGCGAAAACAAAAAAGGATAATACATTACAAAGCTTAAAGAAATGAAGAAAGAATAGTTTTTAAAAAAAGACGTGCTCCACGAATATGAGAAAATCGTTGGCCTCAAACACCGAGGACTTTGTCAAATGTACAGGGAAAAAAAGAGAATTGAATTTTACAAAGCAAGGTGGGCAACTTTGAAGAAAATTCGACCGTAAGCGGATCGTCGCCATCACTTTTTGTCAAACACACCACAGGCATCAAGAATAAGCAGAATTATGACAGCTATAACGATGAGAGCGACCAGCACGGAAATGATCGTCCACTTCGCGTTCATCATACACATCTTGCGTTGAACCCGATGAGCAGTTAGTTTGAAGTTAGCCGACTAAAAATCGAAATTCGACTGGTGGCGGTCGACAAAAGTCATCTTGAGAAAGATTCAAACAATCGAAATCACAGGTAAACGTTTTTGACTAATTTTTTTTATTTTTTATTCATTTGTTTTTATTTGCTCTCTGTCCCAGTTGAACCTAGCTATTTTCCAGAAGGAAAATAGCTAGGTTCAACAGGGACGGAGAGCAAATATGGTTCCGAGTATAAAATTCCTTGCCAAGCTTCGTTACCCTGAAAGCCTTCTCATCAAAGCAAAATCTCAAGTAGTGGGATCTACGCACTTCTTCTCACATTAAGCTTGTCTAATTGTATTATAAGTATCTTGACCGAGCAAAATCAAAAGAGTTACCGTACCGAAGCTTGAAGTTCGTCCGTGCGTCTTTCGATGCTATCGAGTCGTTCTCCACGTTCCATGATTGAAGCTACATTTGAGGCCATTACCTGAAAAACTGCCGTCAGTATGTTCCAAAAAAAAACATGCAGAGTGGTTAGAATGAAGAAAAGCAGTTACGCAATGGGCGTGAGTGCCGAAGAATTCCTCGATACATCAATAACCAAATCCACTGATTCCGAGCTAAAAACTTACAGTCTTGACTTCATCTACTTGACGACGCATCTCCTGAATTCGCTCATCCTGAGAGGATTTCTGCGGGTTCTCCGTCATCTGTAAAGTAATTTTTCAAAAATTTTCAATTTTCCACTACCAATCAACGCTACGAAAGGAGCTCTGATCTAACATAGCATGATTCCTACACCTTCCCC